ATTTTACTGACCGGTAGGGAGGATGATGGGGATTGAACTTGCAACCTTGCGATAGGGAGCCACTCCCTCCACCGCTGAGCCACCTGGCCACGCTAGGGCACTGTGTATATTCCCTGCAAATAGTGATTGTTGCATATCAATAAAGCTAATACAAACACAAATTACAGCTGTAGTAAGGCAACATGAAATGTAAAACCACATTATCTTTTTATATTGTTTTTTATTGCATTCCATTTCATAATGTTTCTGATAATGAAACACAGGAACGTGTGGTTGTCATTGTTATATCTTATTCTTTTGCACACAGGACACCAGACAGCTGGCACTGTCTATTCAGGGAGACTCGAGTACAAAGTGTCTGGGACCGAGTGACTCGGCATTCCACACGAGACTCTTAAAACAGGTAAAGGCCACCACTACACTTGTACTGCTCTGGGTACGCGTGAGTCTCACGTGTTCATCATTAAGGGTCGCACCTTTTCCACAGACAAATCAAGATTTTCAACCTAGTTAGTGCAGCTGTTAATTGTGCGCAGATAAACAGAATGTTGATCAATGTCCTCTACCATTTTGATGTAACATTGTTTGTCAGCAACCTTTATGTTGAGTATTTTAAATGCAAATAAATTCACCCAGCATAGAAGATTAGGCCAAGTTACAGATGTATATCCTCTGAAAGGGGTCTCCAGAGCTCCCATGAGTGAACATCCTACTGCCAGTGGTGCTGAGCAAATAATTGCAAGACTGCACCTTTACTTAACCCCGGTAGGGAATATTCATAAAATATAAAGGACAGCCATCGTCGTTTCGATAGGCAGCAAGTAGCAAAGGGATTTGAATGTTAGAACAGGGACCAACATGTTACATGTTTCCATTTACACTTCAGAGAATGGTATCCTGTAGTTAATACAGCAAAGCAATATTGAACATTTTTATATTGCATATCCGAGTACATAGTGTTCTCAATAGATATTATACACATGTCATATTTTTTATATTCCAAGTGATGCTGTCATTTACAATGTGGCATTATACACTTTGCGTGCTGGTTGGTGGTTGTATTTACTATGTTAAACTTCTTTCGCACCGTACATAGCCAGCCGTGCCAATCGGAGGTGCTGGGGTAGGACTGTTGCATACTGACGGTGCACAGTAAATAGTATAACATTCTTCTATCACGAATACAAAGCACACTCAATGTCAGTAAAAACATCTGCTAACAATACAGGTGTAAAACAAGAACAGTTTTGTAAGGATATTTAATTAAAGTTGCTAATCTGAGTAAATATGGCGTCACTTTATGTACATTATATGTTTTGTTTTAGATTCAAGGAGCTTTGGATGAGATTCACAACATTTTCTTTGTCCTCTCACCGGGGCAAAGAATGGTCATTCTGAAAACAGATAAAGAAGTGCAGCAAGCAAAGGGATTACGGACAGCGGTAAATACAATGCAGCATGCATTAAGAAGCGAGAATCACAAATATAACACATTCCTGCTGCTGCTCTTACTATGTGTTGAGTTTTGCGATGCGTAACTGGTTTCTACACGTGCTTGTGATTTTGCTTTTAGGAAAAAGGGATGGTCACACATGGAACCAAGTCTGTGTCAAGCCGACCTCTGAAACTGAAGCTACACCATACGTAATGGGATTTCCCATTTCCCATTGTGCCATCGAGTTAATTAACCTTAAATAATCTTAGATCAATTTCATATTTTTCTTATCGTCAATTTTTAGGACACTTTTAACATGAAATACACATTAGCCTTGCTCTGCACGGGTTCTTTCGGCACGTATTCTCAAATACTCGTTTTTTTACGACCAAAAATTCGCAAAGCACGCGGTGCGGTCTGCATCCACATGGGTTGAGGAGCGGGGTTCGCACACCGTGCTGTCCCACACTCTGCACGCAATTCACACTCCTCTCCACGTGGATTCTGAGCAGCTGTGTACTGATTTGGCTGTGCACAGGGAGCCGTTGAGTTCGGAAAAAACAACGCCACACGTTCCCGCACCTAACGATGGACCATGGAGGACTGCCTCACTTCTCCCTCCTTTATCTGGAAAAGTTTCAGTTCATGAAAAATTATGCCTGAACAAGATTTGTAGTGCAGTCTACTCTTGGTCTTAAGCCTCACCTTAGCATATTAATAAAAAAGTGTGCCGTTCCTGGCCCTTCCCCCTCAACCATTATATATACGGGGTAGTTTTTCTTGTGATCTCTCATTTACTTGATACAGCTGTCGTGGCTGTGACGGTTCCACCTGAAGACGGAGGCTTGTGTTGCTTCCGAAACGTCGTGAATTTTTTTATTTGTTTTATTTTACTTTTATTAATTTAAACAATTTTACCCACGTGACTTTACCGAAAAAACCTAAGAGTATGAATCCTTGCAGTCAAATCTAGAATACAAATTAAATAAAGTGAAAATAAAGTGAATAAAAATAATAAAATTATCACGACGTTTTGATCGCAACACAAGCAATCGTCATCACCTGATGACGATCACCTGATGACGATTGCAATCTGATGACGATCACCTGATGACGATTGCAATCTGATGACGATCACCTGATGCCGATTGCTTGTGTTGCGATCGAAACGTCGTGATAATTTTCTTCTTTTTATTCACTTTATTTTCATTTTTATTATTTTATTGTTATATCTACGTGACTTTACCGAAAGACCAAAGAATATGATTTCGTGCAGTAACGAAATCTTTAAGTTAGATGTTTTTTTTGTACTGTATTATTTTTTTGCGAACAATTTAGTAAGTTATATTTGAAGCCAGCATAACATTACAAACTCTTATCATATAACTGCAGCTGGAATAACCAAAACGTTTCGCGCTAAGTACATGTAGTCAGGAAGTGGTCAACTGTAATCCAGCATTGTGGAGGCAGTGAGGGTTGGTGGATTACACGAAGGTTGTAAAACTCCCTTTCCGTGGGTGTCGAAAACCCATAACCCTGACTTGCCAGAAGGCAGGACTGAAAAATGTGGACCCCACCTATTCCGTCTGTATGGGATAGAGTCTTGCCCCCTTGCACGCGTACGTTTTCTCCGGGTGCTGCGGTTATATTCCACAGATGTAAACACTCATTGATTGGCTAAAAACACCTGAACAGGGCCACAAAGCTCGGGGAAATATTGGTGGTGCCGGCTCTCTGTGGCTCCTCGCGCCTCTGTGGGTCTGTTGTTCTCTGAGAGTGAGTACATACTGTGCGGCACGTTAGAACTTCAAATTATATACTATGTAACACGATTTTATGTGAAGGAATGACACAAATGCACACTCATTTAAAATAGGTACATTTTAAAATATCACTGTCCTGGTCACGAAAGTTTGTGGGGAATAATACCCATTTTCTGTAATTTTGAGGCAAAGGCAATTAGAAAATAACACTACCCAGGAACAAAATTGTTTTTGTTACAGTGTTATCTTTATTATTACGACCCCTGCTGGCCAATGCCGTTCATAACACTCCAGATGACGGCGATGTTCATGTCTGCTGCAATATTATTTGCACAGATCACATTAAAAAGAGGGTACAGGTGTGTATACACTTTTTAATTGTCTGTAAAAAAATTAAAATAACGCTTTTGAAACTTATTTATTTATGCTAAGTATAATTACTTAGCAAATTGTATTATAGCTTTCTCTGTCGACTAGCACGTTATTTTAACATTTAACACAATTGTTGAAAGACTTTAAGCGACAAGAATGATGCTGATATCTTTAACGTGTATGTATTGTACATTAAGCAATTTACATTGTAGAGTGCATATCTTTGTAAGCATTGTTAGCTGACAAGTTTAGCCATTTTAAAAACGGGACTGCATTTATATTGTATGGATTTTACAAAGTAAATTCCTTTTTCAAATGTGTTTCTACGCTTTGCTTTTCGCATCATTTCGACTCAGCTCATCACCCTTTCGGGGTGTATAAAATTAGTACCACTTCGTGGGGAGGTCGACAACGGTTGTCCAATGCAAGGTTTTACACACAGTATATACTGTATACACCAGTCAAGTCTACCTATATTTGTTTATTTATTTGTCCGTGACTTCTAGCTTCACTCAAATATACATCCCTTTGCCAAGCCACTGTTGGAATAAGGCTTCCTTGTGCATCCGCCACAGGGATGTCGCATTTCGGGCTCTTGGCTCAGGGCTGCAAAGTGAAGATGAGCACCATGGAGTTGGAGACGTCTCTGGCTGACATCACGAGAGGTCCTCGGATCTCCACTGGGCGGCAGCTGTCAGTTTCTGTAACCAGAATCGATTCGCCCATCATTCAACATGCATCGATCCCATACGGTTTGAATGAATCGAAATGTTTATGCCCAGAGAATCGATGCTCTTATAACTTGCGATGTGATGCGTGGATCGAGAGCGGCAAATCGATTTGAGAATTATCGCAGTCAGAGGTCACGACCCCACGACTCCAGCATCCTGTGTGCGTGCAGACAGATTGGTGTGTAAACGCGGCTTAATTGATATGTAAGCCGATTAGGACTAATTAACACGCTCGTCTTATTGTAGCTACACGTTGCACCATTTCGTCTCAGCACCATTTATACGTCGATATTTTTTGGTCGCGTTCAGATCGCCACGCTCCCCCGTCCCACCTGGCCTAGTTTCCTCTCCGGGAAAGAGGTGCGCTAACTCTGCGAGGCTACCTAGGCCGCAAGGGGTCTGGCTGGCGGAGGGGAGCGTCCGCTGACCCATAGGCACGAGGCACGAAGCCGCGAGTTGACTTGAGCAGGTGCAGCGATCACGGTGCGAGGCAGCGGTGCCCGTGTGGGGAGTGAAGTTGAGGTCCAGGATACAAGCGTCTGGGGATGGGGTAACTTGCTTAGGATGTCTCATTCGACGTCACGGATTTTGAATGCCTGGAGTTTGAGGTTGGAGTGAGTTTGGGGCTCGGGGCTATCCGCTCGGCACGAGTTAGGTCTGCAATCTGAGTCGGTGGCAGTGGCACTTCCTCGTCCCGGCATGAGCGTGTCACGCGTCGAGGTGCTGGGCCTTTACCGCCGCGTGTTCCGCCTGGCGCGGGGCTGGCGATCGCCAGGCGCCGCTGAGCCCTCGGCAGCGCTCGCCGAGGCCGAGTACATCCGCGCCGAGGCGCGGGCGCTCTTCCGCAAGAACAAGGACGTGGGTTCGCGCACTGCCTACGCGAATGTGTGCGCCACTGCATCGACGAGTTGAACATTAATCCCTCGTTTTGATTGACGATCCAGCATTGACCCGGTTCGCGCCCGATACTCGATATCGCGTCCGCTCACCTGCGGACAGTTGCCTGCTCATCACTGCTCGTCTATCGTTACTACTCCTCCGTGAACTTCACTCGTTGGCTACTACTCCCGTCTTGAGGACCCGAGTCTGGCCTACCAGACTGGCCGTTTCGTCTGATCTGCAGTGTGTTCAACCACCACACTGCAGGTCACAACAACCACTCATACGATACTGCAGCGGACACTTTCTGCTTCTTCCCTCGGACTGCTCAACTTTTCATTGCCTCCCAGCGGCTGTTTTCCACAGAGAGGGCGCTTTAACACGTCGGCTTTCGCGACCAATATAAAGGGCACAGTTTATATTACAGGGTGTTGTTTCGTTTTCAACAGCTGGTGGAGCCAGAGAAAATCAAGTTCTGCATTGAAGAATGCAAAACAAGAATAGAACTCGGTAAGCAGTACAGAAAATATTTGCAAAAGCCAAACAAAGATTTGAAAATTATCTTTAATGTTTTGTAATACTCTAGTTATCTTCAGTTTGAGAAACGCAAATGAGGTTGTTTCACTTGGTTGTTAATGCTCATGATGTGATCATGTTTGTATATGACAGCAGGAAGTGTTAACTTCTGTTGTCTCCCAACAGCACTTCATTACAAGATACCTTACCCAAGACCTGTAAGTTACTTTGTTATTTAGATGTCGATGTCTTATGTTTACACTTTGTATGACCGGTTTTCAAGAGCATGTCAACATAAAGCTCGGCTGTAATGATATGCTCATTGCAGTAATGCATTACTCGTAATTTATTTTGAGACCTATCTAACTTCATTATTTCTGTGTTAACTCTGTTAGAATACGTTTGCAGACGAGTATTAACCAACGCTTATGTCATAACTTGACTCATTTGTATGGTCAATGGCAGCAACTACTTTAATAAACCCTGCTTGTTTGCATGGTTGGTTAATCTGTAATGTGTTTATGCTGTTCCTAATAAATTGTGTATGTACATACAATAATAGGATAAAAAGATGTAGTCTATAGAATAGAATAATGAGATTGCTTGGGTAGGCCTTAATCTAGCAGCAGATTTATCATAACGGATGATATTATGGAAAGTAACACCTGATAGTATTTTGTAATGTAGGCAATAAACTTAGTTACTTTTTTTCCTACAAATATAACTGCACCGCTGTCTATGCTGAATCTCTACAAAGCTCATACTTTTAGGTGTTAATTGTACCCAGTCTCCCGTCTTCCTTCATTCCTACCTGGGTGTACCAATCCAGCTTTGTGAATCAGCAGTAGAGTGAGCAGCTCGGAATCAAAAGGTTGCGAGTTAAAATCCTATTTGGGGGGTTGACTCAGTCCATCATTTGTCTGGGTTCGATAAGATGGCTACCACTCTTTGGGAAAGTAAACAGCAGTTGTTTTATGGAAAGACCTGCTTCTGCCATTAGGAATGAGTACCGTAATTTCCACCACTGGCTCAGGGCTGCTAACATGTTAGTACCACCTCAATGTTCATTTGTACAGGAAATTACTTTGCCTTTTTCTCTATACATGCACTTTAATTTACTCATGGCTTTCCATGCTGGCGAACTTGCAGATGAACCTCCCTCCCATGGGACTTGCTGGAAAGCAGGGGCGGCAACTGAAGACTCAGGAACGTCTCCGCAAACAGGCCAAGCCCATCTACCTGCAGTCACATGACGAGACGTGAACAATTGGTATAGCCCCCCCATGCACGGCCGTGTGGCATGTAAATACCACTCTGTAATTCTCATGCATTGTACATTAAAACATCTGATTTAATCAGTAATGCTTCAATAGTGTATTTTTGGGTAAGGCAATATAAGACCCTATGCCATCCAACATAGCGAATTACATGATCATGTCTCGTGTACAAGTGTTTAATGTGCCAATTATTTGTTTCATTCTACTGGTAGGTTGAACAAGTTCAATTTTAGTGATGAATTACAAATTTTCACTTGAAACGACGTCACGCATCCGCAGGACAAAATCAAGGAAGTCAGAATAAAACTTTAAACATTTATTTAAACAATGTTGGAATGTTCTTTAGACAATGTTGGAATTTGTATTATTCCTGAACTCGTCCATTTTTACACGCATGTAACATGCCTTAATTTATTTACATTTAGTATGGTTGCAGTTATATTAAAATTACATTAACGCAATTGTAAAAGGACTGGCAGCTTCGGGTAAAGCTTGAGTTATGGTTCATAGCATTGGAATGAATATTCCGTCCAGTATAACTGGTTGTATTCTTGTTTTAACTGCATAAACTAAAACATAATATATTACACTCCTTGTACCTCATGAGTACATACAAGACTGTTGTTTCAGGTTAACTGATTTAACTTAACCCATATTGTATTAAACGCTGTCAGCTGGTGCAAAATTTTCACTGCATTTATGTTATTCCTCTTTTTTTTATGAGGGATGACAGTAATGTCATGCATTTTAGCAATGGTGTATATTTTGTGGTATAGAATCGCACTAAACGAAGCAACTAGAAAAAGTTATTAGCATTTTCGCACAATGCATCTAAGATGGATTTTGTGAAATGCCAGCATGAGAACTGGAAATGTTGCAGGTTATTGTATCTATTATACGATAATATATACCATGGTCTGTCCTGCTAACGTCCCTTCAATTATAAAGTTATTTAGTGTAACCAGGTGAGAATTCAAGAGACCAGGTTAGTATTATTTGCAAGATTAAACATTCTTGACTTAAAGCTTACGTGACTGCAGGAATTCATATTATTTGGGTCTTTCGGAAAGCCACGTAGATAGAAAAATAATACAAATATCACGACGTTTCGATCGCAACACAAGCAATCGTCATCAGGTGAAAAAATATAGTGGGAGAGCTGCTGTAGCACGATGTTATATAGGTTTGAGATGGGTTTAGCCCAAGGGTAAGTGGGTGGGGCTAGAGATGGAATTTGCATGTAAATGTAAGATCGGAGAGCTGATATACCTCCACAACGACGCAGCTGTGGAGGTGGCCATTGTATTGTGAGAGATTAGCATGTCAATGTAAGCGAACCACCACAACGGTGGCTGTGCTAGTGAGACATTTAGCGTGTATGTAACTCAGAGTCGGAAATAACTGCTAACATCGGCAGGTAGGATGGAAACATCACAGCCAGTTATGACTTCAACTGGTTTATAACGTCCTTCCAATGATTGCTCAGTTTGTACTTATCTTCTCGGTGGAAATTGTGTCTATATATCTGGATGGCTTCATGAACTAATCTTTGTTGATAGCCAGTGGGTTTGCAGAGTACCTTCGTCTTGGAAAAATATATTTCGTGTGTGCCCACAGCGTTAAAACAATGATCAGCCACGGCTGAGGTATTGATCCTCCCGTGTTTCAGATCTGCCTTATGTTCACGAACATGGTCCAAGACATGTCGCTTAGTTTCCCCACTGTAAGTACTGCTGCAGGCACAGCTTAGTTTGTAGACACCGGGTATTGCATGTCAGGATCACATCCTTCACAGATGGGATCAGATCACAAATGTTATGTACCAAGTTGAATCGAACCTAGATCTTGTGTTTGCTCATGATTTTGGAAATCTTTCTGGTAACCCCTGCTATGTATGGCAAGGTGATGGTTTTGATTGGGTCCTCAGATGGTTCTTTCCCAACGGTTGGGGTGATGGCTTTACGGATTGTGTAGTCCGAATAACCATTCATCGTGAGGGCTTGGTGTACGTGCTCCAGTTCACTGGCTAGGTGGTGATGGTCGGAAATACAATGAGCTCTATGGTGTAGAGTTTTGATAAGGGAATTCTTCTGGGATGGATGGTGGGAGTCAGGTTTTAGGTAGGCATCTGTATGGGTGGCTTTCCTGTAGACAGTGTCCCATTTGAGCCATCTGGTCTGTTTTCGATTAACACATCTAAGAATGGTAACTTGCCATCCTTTTCCACCTCCATGGTGAATTTAATGGCTGGGTGAATGGAGTTGATGTGGTTCACTACTGACGATGCGCTCCCCAAATTTCACCAGGCTCACTGTTCATGAACTCTTGGAAGTGCTTGCACAAAGGATAGTAACATCTCATCCTGTGTTCTTGGAATCTGAATATCTGGACTTGTCCAGTGACTGCTGAGAAAGATCAGCTGGCAACAGGGGAAAGTCCTTGTGGCGGCACGGAGAGACGGCTGACAGGAGGGAATAGACCCCACTAGGACAGTCATGGGTTAGCTTCCCATTTCTGTAGTTTCCCATGCTTCGCAGTATGATGGAAACACCCGCTTTAGCTACAGAAAGTCAACATACGAGAATACCCCTAGAGTCTGCGAGAGCGGGGCGGAAGATGACTCATCGGCTGACAACATGGTAACGACTGGACCGGAAACGACTACAAGTAATGAGAGCACAGCACAAGAGAACACCACAGCAACTGTCACAAGTTCCGCTGCAACAGCGGGCCACAAACAGATGCAGGTATGTGTCTGTGGTTGGAGGAAAGTTACATCACACTGTTGTATATGTGGGTTATGAATATTCAGTGAAAATAATAATAATTAAATGAAATTTGGCCAAATGTGTAATTATCCGGAAATATGTTAATTTATGTAATTATGCACATTTTAATTATGCCAATTCGAGAGGTAATCGTATTAATTATGCGAGTGGGTGTAATTATGATAATGCAAGTCGTTATGATAACCAGACCCCGCCTCGGTGACGAGGGTGGGTTATCGATCGGAATAAGGCAATTAATCGTATGCAGTTATGCAGGTGTGGTGTAAGTATGCAAGATTAACTTAGATTAACTCGGCATCGTTGTCTAGGTTCGTCTCATTCTCGCTTTAACATTCCCAGAGTGTGTATTCGTGGTTATATTTTAGGTCCCCGGTTCACCCCGTTATCGCTTTAACATTTACTGAGTATGTATTAGTGTGTTTATTAAGGTCACCAAGTTCAGATCTCAACGCAGAAGCAGATCTTATGCATAGATTTCAGGAAAGAATCACACAACCACTTCTGTATTGATCAATTTATTACTAATTCAACCTTAACTATGATATAGTATGCGAACTCTCAATCCCGGAACGTCAACACGGCATCAATACAGTATCATCAACGATTGTCTGATTTCACTTTGACAACGGCACATGGATCCCGCATAACGCGATGGTTGTTAGTGAGAGAGAGAGTCGTTAAAATATGCAAATACTATGCTAAGAAAACCTTAACGTTAATGAATGATTATACTCAATATTGTTCACGCAGTACCGCACTCCTTATTGATCATACGCAACCCTTATCACGTTGTTAGCACCTTGGGTCACGGGACAGTTGAATATTCTGTAGAGGATGCGAGTACGTGCGGCGATTATGACTGAAAGATACTTGAAAGATTATACGGCGATAAAAAAAACACAATCAAAAACAGTTATTATTCTTAAAGGCACCAATCTCAACAGATACATCGGCAGGTTATCTGACAACAGAACGGCTCGGAGTAAGGGCCTGCGACGGTGCTCCTTTTCCGAAGATCGTTATCTTATACCAAGTTTACTAATTGGGGACCAGATCACCTGATAAGGATCCGGTGGGCCACCACTCCCCACGTGAGCGTGGCTCGGCGGAAGGAGGTGCCAAGAATCAGTTCGTATTGATGGATCTGTTGGGAATTTATGCGATTAAGAGTACAGCCCACTAAATATTAAAGATAAAAATTACGAATACTCTTATAAACGACGGATGGCCATCACTCGGTCTCGTTGTGATGCCTTCCCAGCCACGGATGGCTTATGGGTTCGAGTGTGTTTGAGTGGTAAGAGTTGTCTTGAATAGTCAGTGTTCGGAGTCGATTCTTTATGTCAAACAGACGCCTGGTGGTCGTGTGGTGAGGGGGCGGTGCGCGTCATACGTATCAGTCGCTCCCCTGTCACCGTGGTGAACTGGTTCGGATGCCCGTTGATACGCTGTCGCAGTTCGGAACCCGGTCGGTAGGTGGCGCCCACAACTCGCTCGCAGCGTGCAGTGTTGGGTCGTCGACCAGGGTGTGCACGGAGCCTCGTCGCCAAACCGCGACCCTCACCACTCCGGCGGCAGCAGAGACCTCCGACTCGGCAGAGGTTGACCCACGCAGGCCGAGTTGAGCTGTCAAGCGGGTCTTGCCCGCCTGCAGAGGAGATGGGGAGCCGCTTGAGTCGAGCCCCGAGAGCCGGCTTTGGTAAGCCGATCGAACTCGGCTGAGTCCCAGACGAGCTGAAGATGAGTCGAGCCGACCCGCTGGTCGCAGCTCGCTCCTGAGCCGACCCTCCCGGTCGAGCTCGCTCCTGAGTCGACCCGCTGGTCGCACTAGTTTCCAATGCTCAGGATCCTTTCCTTTATGCCGAAAAATCCCCCTGGATCCCGCCCACAAGGCGGGGCTTCTTTCGATTTTTGCTGTGTCAGGATCTGTCCGTAGGCAGGTGTGTCCATGTGTGTGTCCGTACGTCCGTATGTCCTTGTGTGCATCACCCACGGTATATTCCGTTGTCACACTCCCTCCATAAACCCACGAGCAAACAATCAGATGTTACAAATTGCCTCGAAGTCGTCTCTCTGTCTGGGTGCAATATTATCTCTTGTCTGGCCTTCTTCATGAACCCAAAACACAGACGTTACAAATCGTCTCATAGGCGTCTTTGTTCGTGTTGCACAACCTGGAGGGAGGGGCAACACTCTC